CCCCCCCCACTGGCAAAAGTTCAGAGGGAGTTTAAAGTTTTGTAAACATTTTAACTACCCCTCTTCCCCCTTTTATGAATTTACAAAGCAAAGGAGAGAGGGAGACCAGATTTGCAACAGTTCCCAAGTCTCTCCATGCTACTGGATCCAAAAACTATATACAAGTCTGCAGCAGTCTCTGTATAGTTACTGTACATGTTTGGGGCAGGGGGAAGAGAGGAGGAAGAGGGGAAGGTGACCCCAAAAAATGAATAAACCAAACGAAATAAAATCCAAAGCCAAACTGCTCTTGAGCAACTCGAACTGTTTTCTTTAGGCAGTGATGACAGACAGACAGACACCTTTATACAACTCCACCAGAACTGTAGCATATCTCCCTTGGCAGGTTCTAACCCTCTGGGGATGGGAAGTGGGACCAGGGGGTTGAAACTAAGTGCATTTGGCAGTTTTCATTTCCTTTCTTGTGTGGTGTGTGCACGTGGGTGGGTAGAGAAGGGGAGGTGGTGGTAATCTTTCGGTGAGAGAGGAAGGTTATGATTCCATAAATACTTAAGCATCATGGATCCCAGTGAAGGTGTGTGAAGTAGCTTAAGGTGTAGAAGATAAGCAGGGCCATCATTGCACATCGCTTTGCCCTCCACAGTCTCTCTTCATGACAAAAGGGCATCTCTGCTCATTAACCTAAGCACTGCTGGAAATGACAACTAGCTAAGACTGCTGGGCTATATATCTGAAAGCCAGTGTTCACCCTCACCAAAGATTAAAGATCCACACGGTAAAGATCCTACTGTCTCTTAAACGAGACAAATTTGCAGGAAAAGAGCTCAAAATAAACTGGTCCTAACCCTCCAAATGTAGCATTTAAGGTATAAATTCAACCTGAAAGAAGAGATGCCACCCCCTTTTCTTTCCCAGAGCAGAAGTTCCCACTTTTCCAGGAAGGCTGGAGGATGCCGACGGGGAACTTCATCAGCTTCAGCATCACCACCTAATGAAGACAGACTCGAGCTTTCCCTCCGAAAATAATGTGCTGAGAAGGGCTGGCAGAGGGTGTGCAACTTCAAACCAACCCAAGCTAAACTGCGCCAGCCACCGCCCCCCTCCTGCTGTTGCCAGTTCTAAGGTTAGCTTATGAATGCAACTCCTGGCCTGGGAGAGCACCTCTTGCCCTGATGGAGCACGGAAGTCAGTATCTGTGTGGCATTTTGGTTTTGACCAACATCTGTTAACAACAAGCTCTCATCTCTCTCTCCGTGACCGCACGTGTTGGATGTGGTAAGAGCAACCAGGAGAGGGAAGCAATGGTTTGCAGAATCCCAATTGTTGTTTTTTTTTTCCAGGTATGTCAGCAGAAGAAATCACAGCACAGTGAAAGCCTGCTGCCCAGATCAACCTTGCTGTGAAGGAATCCTATCTCCCACCCTCCCAGGGCTCTGAACAAAGTCCACTCGACTCTAGGCTGCCAGTAGGAACAACACCTGTGCAGTCCTGGGCAGAAAGGGTCACTGGGGCTAGAGGAAGCAGCCTGAGATGATTGATTCTGTGATTCACTGCCAGGAGAAGGATGCATGGTGGAGAGGACTGTGTCCCAAACGGAGAACCCATGGTTAACAGATGCAGGAAAAGCCAAGTTGATTTGCACATGCTCAGTAGTCTTCCAAAGTCTCTATTTCTCCCATATTGAGCCGCTCTGATGAGGCATTCACTGAAAACCCTGCAAACCAGAAAGGACTCAGATTAACATTGATGCAATACACCTGTCACATGCAGTACCACGTGTAAGATTATAGTGAATAATACAGAGAAAATAAAGTCTCTGGAAATGCAGCAGGGCTAGAGATGTAACTACCCAAACTAGTTTTTTCCCTTGTAAATCAACAATAATAAATTGTATATTTACATAAGTATCACTCTTTAAAAACAGATCAGCAGAAGTTTCAGCTTCCATTTCAAAGATGTCCTCTGCAGAGCTGGTCTGGTACCAGGCAGAGCAGTGAGGTGGGAGCATGTTTGAGTCAGCTGGAACCTGGAGGGCCTGCCAAGACTTCTGCTTGAGGGCCCAAGAGGCAGAAATGGCATTTTGTGAAGACAGTGTGGAATCATACTCAACACTTGAGTGGCTGTGAGCAATTCTACCCCTTAAAGTCATGTACATGTACCAATGGGATCTCGTGGCAATTCCATGTACTTCTGTGCTTTTTGACAATCTTGTCTCTGAGGAGGTCCAACATGAAAAGGGACAAAGATTCACAGGGCTGCACAGACAGCTCAAGATGCACCTAAACTTCTACCCAACCTTTTAACCACCAGTGCTGAGGACACATGAGAAAAGTGTGAGAAAAGGCAAAAGCATTTTCTTCAAGGAAAACTTCCAATAAATCACATGCAATTTTCCTATTGAAACCAAGTTTTTATGGTATACCAACCCCATGTTGAGCATAAGAAAAAGACAAGTTTTCCTGTGTAAGGCTTCTAAACACAAACCTGACATCCCATGGCCTAGGGGCTGCCCTCAAGGCTTGGTCTGTGCTAGAAAACCACCCCCTTTCACAGCCATTTTCTTCCAACAGATAAAAAGTGCTCTCTGTGCAGCAGGTTTAAGAAAATTGTTTTGGCTCCCTCTTCAGGAAGCATGTTATCTTAAAGGTTTTGGAATTCTTTTGTAACAGAGTGTATCGACTTCTAAGAAGCTGGACGTGTTACTTCTCTTACAGTTGCAACTTCTTAATTGTTTTCAGTGATTCCTTCTTCACATCACATGAATAGGTTTTCAAACTATCCAAGTGAAAACCCAGCTCAGCCTCACTGCACTGGCACCCACGGGTGGCCTAAGTCAGGATGAAAAGTCAGTATGTTTCAGTACAGAAATCACGGATGTAACTGAAGACTATTCATCTTGTTGGGAAGAAAAAGAGCAGTACAGAAATCACGGATGTAACTGAAGACTGTTCATCTTGTTGGGAAGAAAAAAGTTAAAAAACAAAGGCAGGGCTCTGTCAGAGCCTTATAAGAGCAGTGACTTCCAAGTGGTGAATACCAGGCTGCTTTATACAAACAGGAGCTAAGTAGCCCCAGCACAACAAGCACTGGCCCAGTGTGGTGCTCTGACATCTTTTTCATCACACATAGCACAGATGTGGACACATTTATTCCACAAGGACATTACAGGGACACAAGGCTCACTATGTCCTCACTTCCATGATGCCCTTGCATCTTAAAGGCCAGTTGAAAGAAACCTCTTGTCATAGGGGCTGGTCAACTCCCACCCCCACAAAAACTGACAGAGACAATGAAAAGAAAAAAGCTTGTAAATGATGTCAATCTCCACTGCCTCCAACTGAAGACTTGTCCTAAGATCTCTGCTATCTTTTCTGACCAGGGTGGTTAGCTCATGTAAAAAAGCAGGAAGGAATAAAGACAAATCTCAAGAGGCTGCTCCTGACAAATCAACAGAAAACATGCTTTTCATAAAAGAATAAATTAGCATTCATTCCATACAATAGGCACAGGTCAACTCAAAAGAGGATGGGCAGTTTAACAGACATCCCTGAACTACTTAGAAGGCTTCCAGGCAATAACCAAGGTTTTGAAGAGGAACTGGATGACAAAAGTTTTCCATGAAACTGATAGAGAATTTAAAAAATCATTACATAATACTGAAACAAATTCTAATGATGTCTCAACCTTTTCCTTTTCAAATTCAGTATTCCCATTTAAGGCTAACAAGAATTCTATACTCTACAAAGGCTGTTACCAACTTCAACATTCATTTCTAAAAATGAAAGAAAAACTGACCTAACAAGCTGGGATCTGCACGAACCATTTTCTGTTTCTTCTTTTTCTTCCCACTCTGCACAGCCTCAAAATTGGATTGCTGGTTGTTGCTCTGATTGGTCTGAAAGACTGAATGTAGCGAACTGTGGTTCATTCCCCACACTGAATCCTAGAAAACAAAGCAAGTGCAGGATTATAAAGGGCAATTAAGTTTGGTTTGTTTACACTGAAAAGATTCAGAGACCGCAAAGCATCTTCTACACCACGTGTGGCAGCACTAGCCTGGGATGGCTACATCCAACATATCCACCTTGTTTTAAAGCACACTAAGACACTGATTTTTAGTTGGTCTCAGGTGTTACCTGTAGAGGAAACTTGACTCTGCAGTAAATACTTGAAATCCACTTTATTATTTGCATTTCCCATGACATGTAAAACCCTGCTCCTCCTCCTATCAATCCAGCCTCTAGACCCTGCTAGGGGTAAGATGTAGATGCAGTAAGACGTACCTGCTGCTGCTGCTGTTGCCGCTGCTGACTGGCTTTCTGTTTGGCACGGCGCTCAAGAAACTGCTTGGCAAACTCCTTGGCCTCAGGAGTATCTCCAAGATAGGCTCTGATGTAATCATGGACCTCATAGGGCGACTCCACTTCCTTCAGGAAAGAAACAAACGTGGGAACTGCAAGAAGAAGGCAGACCATGTTGATATGTGAACACGTGCATGCAACAAACACAAACCTCGGATTTTTGGTGCAAATATTTGCTAATCTGGTAGCAACTGCCAACAGCTTGTCCTTGTCCGTGCCTTGCAGTAAAGCCCTAGCATGCAATGCTTCACCTGTTCCACCATCAATGCAAGAAGAAGGGCTAACAGGATGAGAAGGACGAAGTGACAATCCTCAGGGTGTGTTACCCATCAACTTTATGGCTCAAATTTCATGCCAGGCCCAAGCAGAAGATGCTCTTCTCAGAGCTGTCATCAGTACAGTCTTTTTGGTCAAAGCACAACAGGTCACACTTAACAGCAGCTGACTGCAGGCACCCTGAGTTCAACATGTAGCTCACGTGCAAGCCCTGTTTACCATCTCTTTTTCTTTAATATACTTTGGTTGCACTGAACACTTTAACTTGGAGAAGGGCAAAGCAAAGCACAAGCCGTGAAGACACAAGGACAACAGGCTGGGACCTGTGGCACAAAATACCCCTGGAAGCAGGGAAGCCCACTGTGGATGAGTGCCCAGGCACCACACACAGCTCATCCAATGCCAACAAGTCCCTTCCAGGATCTGTCCTCTAGGAGAAGGGAAGCTGTGGCACTGCTGCTGTGGGAGGGGTGATCCTGGCTTGGGGACAGCCCTGCCTCATGGGTTGCATGGAACCCCAGCTCTGCAGCTGCTGGAGCACTGGCACCTGCACAGGTCCACACTGGGGGCAGAACACCCACAGAGCTTTGGCTACAAGGTATCCATTTGTCATCTCAGACTGGACATTCTTCCACATGTCCTCCAGCATAATTAGTAAAAAAACAACTCATTTCCCATGAAATAAATGCTTTGTTGAGGCGCATATGGTAATTTGGCATGCACTTGAAAGTGAACTGGACCCTCATCCACCTGCCTGCTAATCCACCATCTACCACCTGATTCCATGACCAGCAGAAATCGTGAGCAGAGCTCTGGATAGCACTTTCAAACTGTCCCCAATCCTCCTGATTTCCTATCATCAGCCCAGCAAATACCATGGAGAAGACAATGCAGCCAGTTCAGACCACTACTCAATGGTGCTTTTTTGCTGACTGCATTAAAAGCATTACTTTGATGTTGTTGCTGCTTTTCAGAATGATCTGGTCAGGACACAAACTGGATATTGTGTCTCACAGTGGATCATTTATATTTCTCCCCACCTCTTACCATCTAGGTTGTTGGCTGTGTTGAGTGCATGAAGCATTTGTTCACACCACTGAGTGAATCCATCCTGGGCTTTATTAACCCCCTGGAACAATTTCAACAGCTTCTCCTCTTCTTCCACCTTCTTGTTTTGTCTACTTGTAATACCTACAGATTTACTGAGGAAAAGAAAACATAATAAATTATGAATTACCAGAACTATCAACGGTACAGTATATAGTACAGTGTGAGAAGACTGTGACAAGACAGGTTTACAAGATGCAAACACTGTTTAAGAACCAACTGATTTTCCAAGCAGATGACAAAATAAATTGTGGATGGTAACCTATTAGCTATTTATGTTGTTAAAAAAAAAAAAAAAAAAAGAAAAAAGAAAAAAGATGGAAACACATGGATATGTTATAATTGCTAAGTGATCATCTCACGAGTGGTAGCTTTTCTTTGCAAAAAGCTCCTTCCCCAGTTCCTACCTGAGGCTGGCATTGCTTTTGTTTTTATTGGTCGAGTTACGAGGTCCCACTTCCTTCACTGCATCATCCCAGAAACCCATATTTGAGTTTTTGGTATCAGCATTACTCCAGATGCTACTGACTAGGTCAGATGCCCACTGGTTGCTGGGATTAGTGTTTAGGGAGCCCCACACTGAATTCCCAATGCTGGTGTGCAGGTTAGCGTGCTGTTGAAACATAACAAAGAGATCCTGGTTAATAGCACCAGACCTGGCAGAGCAGTCATGAGCAGAATGGGAACTCCCAGGTGCTGCTCCCCTGCACACCCAGGATAACACCCCACGTACCGTAGTACTTCGGACTCTATTCGGCTGCTGGTGCTGCTGTTGCTGCTGTTTCTGCATCTGTCTTGCCTCTTCCTGCTGGATTTCCAGCAGGGACTTGGTGGTGCCTGTTGGTTTGGTGACATTACCCCAGCCTGACAGTTTTTGCTGCTGCTGCTGTTGCTGCTGCTGGAGGGCCTTCATTAGCTCACGCTGCTGACGCCTTTGCTGTTGGGTGCAAGAAAAGTGCCCATCCATACTTTCAGAAGATAATTACTATGCAAAAGTCTATCTGGGAAATGGGTTTTAAGCTGACTTCACTCTCTTCTGGAGGAGTCTGGCTGACTGACTATTTTTGAGCCACTATAATTCTTCCAAAAAAGGAGACACTAAGTAACAGTGTCCCATACAAATGGTTTATTAGCCTCAGGCAGAACAAGTTTGTCAAATCCCAACTGCAGCCAGCTAAGCATTTGGGGTCTTGGAGTAGCTTCTGTCCTACCATCACCTGGATTTTTTTAACCCCCCTTAAACTGCCCTGGTCTTGAACGTACCTGCAAGCATATAATAATATAGATGTGAATTTTATATTGTTTGATGAACACATGGCACTCCTAGGATTACAAGGGTAGTTTCCCCTCCTTTCAGATGCTTACATGAAGAAGCTATAAAAACTTCCAAACAAGCACTTACTGAACCCATGTCTGAAAGACAGGATTTTACTCAGGTGATTCCATTTCTAGCAATGTTCCTCATCCTCACCATTCCTTTTAATGACTTAACTGACAATTAAGCAGTCTCAGAGTTGAGCCCACTCTAACAAGCTGCACTCAGTTGCTGGGAGCATTTACCTCTTCTCGAAGCTGCCGTTCTCGTTCTTCTTCTAACTTCTGGATTTCTGCCAGTGACAGTGTGGTCTGGGATTGACAAGCTCCTGAATTTGATTGCTGACCCCATGTTGAAGATGAAGGGAGCTGGGAGAAAAAAACAACATCCTTAGGAATTACAGGATGTTTCAGAAAATACTGCTGAAGTATAATGATAATAAAACAATCAGTAGGCACCCACAGTACAGGGGAAAAGACAGACCACCCTTCACAAAACACTAGGAACTGTAAAGTTGTGTAATTAAGTATGAAATGTTCAAGGCATAAACTGTATGGTTCATTAATTGCCCTCAAAGGATCACAGTGTCAAAGACAGTGTATCAAGAATAATTTAACTCATCCCTGCTTGAAAAACAGCAACCAGTGTTGATTTCCAAGACTTCAGGAACTCCAGGCTTTAGAAACTTTGCACTGGTCCTTACCCACCGCAGCAAAATAAACATCTGTCCTCATCTGCAAATTCCATTCCAACACACTTCTATTGACTGACTCTTATTTTGTAACTTACCTTCCTCTTGTTTCTCCCGTCACTTTCACAGTCAACTATTTAAGCTCTTCCCTCTCCAGATAGTTCACCCATCCCTGCTCTGCTCTAGTCTACCCGAATTCAGTTGTGGTTCTACGTACTGCACTGAACTGGAGGAGGAAGTTCAAGTGTAGAAACACTTTACCTTCATTTGTGCAAGTTGCTGCTGTTGCTGCTGCTGTTGCAGCCGCCGTAAAGCCTCCTGCTGCTGCTGCCTCTGCCTCATGATCTCCTTCTGGCGCTGGAGTTCCAGCTCCTTGCGCTTCCGCTCTTCTTCCTCAAGGCGCTGCCTCGCCGCCTCCTCTTCCATGCGCAGCCGACTCTCCTCAAGTCGCCGCTGAGCCTCCTCCTCTTCACGTGCCCACTTGGCAGCCTCCTCTTCCTTCGCAGGAAACAAAGGGGAGCAAAGTCTAAGTGGACTTAGAAAATCTAAGTTACTCCTCCTCTGTGTCACAGAGATTCCGACAGAACAGAGAGGCCTTTGTATCTCACCTGTGCCGTTCAGGTTGCTCATTTGTTTACATTGCTCAGGCAGAAAACCCAACAATACAGTCTATGTCCCCCAAAAATACAAGGTTCCCGTTATTCCACCAAGGACACTGGGAGATGTGACATCTCCCTGGCTCAGACCAGCTAATTTCATATCACTTTCCTTCTAGGAGCTACGCATCTTCCAGTGAACTTCTCTCTGCTGATACTACTTACAGTTGAGGACTGCTACACTTCTGATGGAATAAAAACTGACAGGAATAAAAAGGAAGAAGTTTTGACATAAAAGATGTCATCAGGTGACAAAAATGGCGATGTTTACTGTTGTTACTCAACACCTGAGCTGCAAAGGAATCATAGAATCTATGGGGTTTGAAGGGACCTTTAAAGGCCATCTAGTCCAGCCCCCCTGCACCACCCCTGACAGTCAAAGCTTGTTCCTCCTGGCAGCCTCCACAGTGAAATACAACAGGTCCCTTTTTGCCATTTTTCACCTGTTTACGAATCAGCTCCTCTCGCTGCCGTCTCTCCTCCTCTTCTCTTCTCCTCTCTTCCAATCTCCTAAGTGCTTCCTCCTGCTGTTGTCGTTCCTCTTCCTCCCGCTGCCGCCTTAGTGCAATTTCCTGCTCTCGTTGTCGCCTCAGGGCTTCCTCCTGGAGTTGGGAATAAAATGTCCATCTCTAAATGCCGTTTTATTGACAAACCACATCAGAACACAGACTACAACATGGTCTGGCCAGATAAATGGCCTCAAGAAAAGCTCCTCAATTCCAAGCTAAGCACTACTAAAACAATATATTCAACTCTACAGACCCACATGTTAACAAGTTTTTGGATGCAACGTGCATCTCATACATAAATTATTTTAATGAAAAAAACATATTAAATCACTGAAATCATTAACCTTTGGTTTTAAAAAGAATGATGCTGAGAACAGAAACAAAGGGTGAGACACCTCTTTCCAATATATATAGTTTAGTGTGTGGGTATCACTAATTCCTTTTATTAGGGTGTCAGCTCTAAGTTGGAAGCTTTTCCTACTTAAAGGAGTTTCTAAACACTGACTTCTCAAGTGCACCACAAAACTCGGACCGCATCTCCAGACACCAGAATCAAGCTGAGGAAGCCCAGTACACTTAAGGACCCTGTAACTTCTGGAAGTCTCAGAGATGTGGAACTCAACAAAAGGGCTTTGACTGGGCTATTCTGACCCTATTTAAAAAGTATGGACAGCTAGAGGTCTCTTGAATGGCTTTGATTTTGGGCATTAAATTTTGATTTTCCCTAAATTATTTAAGTAGCTCTCAATAAATTACATTTGCTTTCCAAGTAGCAAAATTATTTACTTAATTAAAAAATGAAACACCAGCATCCTTTCCTACTGCTCTGAAGATCAACAGACATTTTTCCACTCAGGTACCTGCTTTTTGGAGGAACAGGGCCCAGACAGCGTGCAGCTGCCTTCCTAGACATTGTTAAAGGGCAGCACATCTATGTGGCTTCTCCTCCAGTTCTGACTTGTCCCTGTATCAAGTTTTGCTGCCTTTTCTGATCTCTTAAGTCCAGCAACTGTGTTAAGGGCACCCTGCTTTTCATTCCTTTCCTCTTCTCTCTGCATTCTGACTTGAGCTACCAGTTTAACCTGAAGATCCTACTTTTTGGACAAGAATTTAAGCTTTCATAAATACATTTTCCCTTTGAATAATCAGCACTCTTACAAGTTTTTTATGAGCAATACATTGCTCTCAGGATGAGGGAAGACTAGTTGTGCAGCATGGATATAAATTTTGGACTCTGGTAAATCAACAAAGTTAATTCTGCAATCTATAAACCTCTCCCTAAATCTCATACCAGACTTTCATACACACAGCATGGATAAACTGCAACACAGGTCCCTGAAAGAGTTCTGACAGGGGCTTACTTCAGGTGTAGACAATGTAACTGTCCACTAGACAGAACATTTATTTATAAGCAACCTTCTGGCACTGCAGAGCTGCTGGCTGCAAGCCAAAAACTAATTCTTATTCCTGTATATCGCTTAAGTGGTTTAGTGCTAAATGTAAGTGTTTTAAGTTTTATTTCTACTAGCTAGAGATAAAACAGCAGACTGTGAATCATTTGCTCATTAATCAAATTCTTGATTTGTCATATTCACAAAAGCTTCAAGCATGACACAAAACACCTGGAGGATTTTTGTAACTTGGGCCTGTAACTGAATTTATTGGACACACATGCTCAAGTCACAATAACCAAGTGTCCCCAATACAAGTGCTGTTCCTGCTTTCTCCTTTTGCTGACAAGTCTACTGAAGACTAGAGGTGTGCCAGTGTGCTTTGTGTGACTGGAGACCACACAGCAGGGCCCTCAGCTCAGGGTGCCTTGCCACCAGCCTGGCGGGGGACACAACACACAGCACCTGAGAGACAGGAGCCAAGACCAGGTCCTCCTTTACAACAGCAGCTCATTGATGTATCTGCCTTACTTTCCTTTTGGGAAGTGAGGCTGGAAGGCTAGAATTGCCACCAATTAAGCTGCATGGATCTCTCTGTCGCTTAGCAATGCCAGGACAGACACTGCTGAGTGAGGCAATCAAAAAACCAGACTCCTCTCCCCTGGAGAGCTGAAGATGAACAGTGTGGAAGCAACACGGCAAAAAAATCAGCAAGATTATGAAAAGCCAAGAAACACAAGGCTGGTGTAATTCTTTTTTCCTGCTCTTCACAGCTGTATAGGAAGGGTTGTCTTAATTTACTTTTGTATCTTATTATCCAATGTTTTGTTTGAGCATGTGACCAAAACCATTCAAAGTTCTCCAGTTTTTGGCCACTGACTTTGTATGGGAAACTGACTTATTCCTTTGGCTCTTGCTGCTCCCACACTCACAGCTTCCCGCTCCAAGAAAATCCCAATATTCTTTTAGCATTTTTTCTAATAATTGTTTTCAAGCACACACATCTTGCTGCACAGGCAACTTATTTCAGGTCCTTTAAAGTATCTCAAATATCACAGAAAATCCTTAAGTAGCCTCATTTCAGGAGGCTCAGGATTCTCAAGTAAGATATTATAAAAAAAATTTCATTAGTAACAAACCAGGACAACCTGCAATTCTGCTCAAAAATCTTTAGTTTTGTGGATCTCATCTTTGAACCAGGTACTTTAAAGGGATCACTAAAGATGTAATTCAGAGAAAACAATTATTAGCTACTTATGAAACCTTAAATTTTGTTCCTGAAAGAGATCAATCATTACAAAACAGAAGGTATGAGACCAGAAACAAAAAAGAAACACAAGAGCTACACAAGCTGGGCATTACTGTTTGCAATTCTACAGTGCAAGAAATTGATGAAAACTATGAACAGAACTGGATTCAACATTTGGTATGACATTTCATCCTACAGAATTGAATTTCTATTAGTTACTTTTTAAATTTAGAATTCACCATCAACAGCATATTTACTAACCTTATATACTAGTCTTTTATGCAGTATTACATCAAAAGCCTTCCTGAAGTCCAGGCAGATTAAGTCTACTGCTTCACCCCTCTCAGCTCTCACTGTCATCTCCTCAAAAGAAGTTAATCAAATTTGTTAAGCATCATCTCCTCTGTATAAATCCATGCTAATAAATCAGTTCATCCCTGATTCTACAATGCCTTCCAGTACAGAAGTCAGATTCAAATATTAGACCAGTTTTTTTTCAAATACAGAATACAATATTATTTTCTCTTTCCAGAGAAGTGCTTAAAACTATATTTCCAATTCTTTACATCAGTCTTCTTAGACTGATTTTTTGATATATCTCTACCAAATATAAAACTAGACCAGTTTTTTTTCAAATACAGAATACAATATTATTTTCTCTTTCCAGAGAAGTGCTTAAAACTCTTTGTTACCTTTTCAAGACATTACTGCTCAGAATCAAGCATTTTGGCAATTATTCCATTAATAATGAACTAAGACACTTGCTGTTACTGCTTTTCAATCCCATTCTGCTTCCTCCTTGTAAATAATTATTTCCCATGACATCTCAGAAAAGGAGTCAGATTGTTTACTGTATAAATCCAAAGTGGACAGAAAACTTTGGAATTTCATGGACATTTCTAAGTGGTAACACACAGTAGCAAAACCATTAATCTGAACAGAAACCACCCAGGTCTTTTATCTGAAGCCACCATGGATGAAACACATTGAGTTACCAGGTGATCTGCTGAAAAATTAATTATTAAAACAGGTCTAAAGCAACTTAACTCAAAAGTTAAACTCTGGAGTACATGATTGCTTTAGTGCTACAGTAAAGCTTGAACCATCAAAGGATGCTTTTTCACTGTGTAGCAAAAAGACTGGCTGCTCACAAAGCAGATATGTGAAAGCAAGGAGCTTTTTATTTACTGACTTGATTCTTCATGATCCCATGAAAGGCCCCTACAACCCCCACTGCAGCCTAACATAGATCTGCAGGGACAAAACCCAAACTCTGAGCGAATGCAGCTCCACGACTAACCCACAACTGAAACTGAAGATTGTAGAGGCTTCCTCAGGAGTGTCTGATCCTGAAACCAGGAAATGCACTTGACAGCTGCCTAAGCACAGAAAATACTATAAAGGACAGAACTATAACTTTTGCCTGTTATTCATGTGCTACTTTACAGGACACTTACTAACCCCTTACTCACTAAGCTCAACAATGTGCTTGCCTGTATCCTTCACAAGCACAGTGAAAACTCACTTTGTCTTTTTTTCCTACAACACCTAAGGAACAATTACTCTTTCTTCCATACAGAATTCAGAAGTAAATGCTGAAAACATCAAGCCAATAATGTCTTCATTTCATGTTCCTGTCAGATTAAGAACATACTACAACCTTTACAGTCTCCTACTGCAACACAGATCACATCACTTATTATAACAAATCTGCTTGTCCAAACTACATCCTTTCCTTTCTCAAATATCAGCTCCAGAAAACAAAGCTGACAGACTGCCATAGCTCTAATAATTTACACACACAAAAAAATAATTTACTAGGTTAAAAAAACCAGGGGAAAATAAGCTAAATGTCAACCACTTCTTTCCTCTATGGCCCTCTACATTTCATTCCTTTGAAACAGCTCAAGCTCCAGTCTATTCCAGAACCACCTTTATCAAAGCACTAGACCGAATAAATTATTAATAAAGATTAAAAATATAACTGGGCAACTAACTAGAAGTCTAACAGACATTAAGAAGTTGGGAGGGAATATTCTAGATGGAATAAAGCCTCTCAACTCACCAACAGGAACCTATCTTGAAGTGAACCATCAAACTCCATTTATCAGACTGCAATTTGGGCCCTTAAACTTCAAATCAAGGACAGAATAATAATTTTTATATACTCACATGAAAAATTAGAACTGCCTTCAGACACACCTACCAAAGATTATTTGGACCCCACAGGATTCTTAGAGTGAGTTTTATGAAGTATTAAATTTTATTAGAGATTAACTACATTGAGGAAACTCACTTGCTTCCTGCGGGCCAGTTCTTCTTCTTCCCGTCGTTTCCTCTCATCTTCCTGCTGCCTCCTAAGTAGCTCTTCTTGTTGCCTCCGAAGCTCCTCCTGCCTTTTCCTCTCCTCTTCCTCTCGTTTGGCCCTCATTTCCACTTCTCTCCTCTCTTGCTCTAGCTACAATTCACATAAAACTATACTCAGATGCAGATCACGTATTCCTACACCATGTCTTAGGGCAACTCTGCTGAGGGCACAGTAACAACATAACAGATGAAGCCTCTGACAGATGCTCTCCCTTAATTGCAATTTTACCTATCAGCTGCCTGCCTCCTGGGGTCAGATTCCTGAAATAGTCTAGAAAGATTTCTGACAGCTTCTGTTCTCTAACGAACACCAGTTCTCTCGTCAGTCTTTCTACATCAGCTCCTCAAAATAACCTGACTTAAGAAGCTAGCAGCGAGTTGCTTTGCAGTCATCATAAAATAATCAGTTCCAGGAAATGTATGGAACCACACAGGTTCAAAAGTCATTCTATACCAAGTGTGAAACAACCCCAACCAACAGGACTCTTAGGATTCCCCAAAGCCGTTCTGGTGACAAGATGTGAGGATTAGGAGAATGACTACCTGCTCCTAGCTCCTACTCAGGGGGTGGCAGGACAGCTCACGATGATCTCATTTTAAAACAGAGGTGGCTAGTGAAAAGTTTTTAATCACAAGTGTAAAAAACCATAACCACTACTTTAAAGGTCAGTAGTACCTCCACAGCAATGGCTTCCAAGCAGCAGTCCACCAAGATCTCATAACTGGTTTCTATAACCCATATTCTCTTTAAGTGTGTTTTCCATGAAAATATAATCAAAATGGTACAGGGTGGCCTGAAGATTGACGAGCTAATAGTCTTCCATTGGCCCAAGAAACACAGTTCCCTGCAGAACAGCAATCCCAACTTGTTACAGTACAAAACAGTTTCTGACCTTTGCAGCTTTGGCCTTCTCGAGCTGCTGAAGTTGTTCTAGAGCTGGTCCCTGAGATGCAGTATCAATGGGGAGATCCCAGACACTGCTTCCTTCCCAAACTAGATAGTGAAGAAAACAAACATTGACAAGCAAAGATAAGCACATCGAAAAAAAACAAGTGAAAAGGGAAAATGCAGTTACTGCATTTTATGAACTGAAATTAGTCTTTGTCAGTAAAGGACCACCTTATCTTCCTGTTGAATGAGACATGACCAATACTGAAGCAAGGCTGGATTTCATACACAATTCTACACAAGGATCAGCTGTTCAGACTCCTCCCACCAGTGCAGAACACTTTTATAATAGTCAACCCATTTTGATCAAGACTTCCCACAACCAGAGGAAAAATCCCATATTCTTCACAGCTCTCAAAAGGAATTTAAACTGCAAGGCAAAGCAGCCAAACCAGTTAAAGATATTGACACAAAAATAATTTCCTTAGTGTCAAAAAGGGATTGATCACCTCCAAGATGTTGGCTCTTAATTCATAAACTTTTCTGAACAGTTCTGACATGTGCTAAGCATCATCTTACCTGTAGGTTGTGAAGCTGGCTGAAGTTCCCATATTGAGCCAGTGTCCGGCACTGACACAGACCTGGTAACAGGTGGCATCATGTTCTGTTCAGATATTCTGCAATACCAACAGGAACAGTCAACATGCCACTTCCAGGGAGAGGAGTGCTCTGAACACGTGTGAGATTCAGTAACTTGTAACATACTCCTTTCCTTCCACACCTCTATTTGAAACAAAAATAGGACGCGGACAATGCCACTTGCTTGCAGAGTTCTTGCTCATCTCCTCCCTGCTGCCAAGTCAAGGGCTAAGCCAGTACAGCTGCAGTTTTGAATTTGCTTCTTACAGCCTCATTAGAGGAACAACCATCTAGCACTGCAGAACTTAACTAGCAAAGCCATTCTGCTACCAGCACAAAAGATCTGGCCCAAGTATGATTTCGACTACGAGATCTTCCTCTTTGTTTTCATGAATATTCTCTGACGTAAAGGCTAAATATATAAGAAGTATTCAACGACCTGCAACTGTTTCATATTCAGACAATCTTTAAAATAGGTAATGCTCCATTACAAGCAAACTTGAACAGGGTAGACCACTGACAAGATTCTAATTATCATTACATACAAATCAGAGTATAGGAAGATCTGTAACTTTTAACTCACCTCATCTTCAGGGCCTGGAACTGTTGCAAGAGAATAGCAAGCTGCTGCTGTTGCTGGGATGAAAGGGCTGCCTTTTGCTGCTGAGCCAGCACCTGTGCATATTGTTGTCTTCAAAAGAGAAGCAGAGAATCACTGGTATTTGTTCACTTGCTTATTTATATAATGCCCCAGTTGCAGAAGCTGTGCATAGATTCGTTCTCCGGGACTAAGCCCACTGACCTAGATGATGTACAGGCTGAATATGAGAGGAAACCAGGGTGGGGCCTTGGAAAGGATCAAAATACAGGAATGCAAACAGTGCCACATAAGGATAACCAAATTTCTCTTCACCCTTAACACTATGTCAACTGATTAGTGCTGTCCAGTGATTCTCTTCCAAGCTGTGAAACACTACTTCTCTTTTTCTATCCATTACATACAGATTGTGCAAATTTGTCAGGCTTTGATGACTGCCTATCTACTGAAACCAAATCTTTTCCCCAGTACGTCAAGGCATCCCCCAGTACAGGGAAGGCTCTTGCCTCATCAAGTCATAAGCTGACAATCAGTATTCCAAAATCAGAATCATGGCACATGCTTTCAGGACCCCTTGAACAAGCGGTCTTATCTGGCTGCTCTCTCTTCTCCAAGCTCCTACAAAACAAGTTGTTAGGAACTGGCCAACGCTGAACACCTGAGAGCTCTGGGAAAAATGGGTTACAAACTGCTTTCTCCAGCAGCTACCTTCCACTGATCTGCAAAAAGCTCAGCAAGCAGACCAAAAGTGAGTTCTGTCTTCTCCATCTCCAGTTCAAACAACATGTAGCCTTCCCTGACTCCAAAACATCCAAAACTGCATGACAAAGATAGCTGGGATTCAGCTTGACCGTAACAGCTGCCTGTCTAGCAGGTCGCACCCAAGCAGCTATGCATGACACAAAAAAAGGCTTTAAAATCATGCCTGAGGTAGCCCTCATTCTGTGGCTTATCCAGCCTCTAGTGTCTGTGGAAGCAGGCTATTGCTGCTGGAGGCGAAGCACTCCCAGCCCCACTGCCCAAGGAAACAATGACAAGAAGATGAACCCAGATGATTAAATATGCAGAGCAGAAGAGCCATGGGAAGATCTCTGGGACTGGCAGCCTTACTGTATTAAGAGATGCTGATACTGGAGGTGCTGCATTTGGATCAGGGCCAACTCTTGCTGTCTAGTCAGCCGCTCTTGGTCCAGCTCGCCCTGTGTTTCAGAATAAAACATTCCATTTTAATAACTTCTATAACAGTAGTGTGTTACAAACGCAAACAAAGTACAAGTTGCATTCTGAACTGGAAAGACAGCAGACAGAACAATATCTAGACATAGATCAATGTTTACAAACAAAGCCTGTGCTGTGGTGACTGTGAAATACACAGCACTTGTACCTGGCACAGGACCAAGCCCTCCAGCCACAGCCCTGGCAAAACAAACATTTACAGTAAGTGTCTTTTATCCTCTTCAGAAAGGTAATTTAACAGAGGGTTTCATTTTGGTGCTTGAAATATCTGCAATTCCAAGGCAGAGCAGTTGAAATGTAAATGGTTGCATTTACATTTGTTACAGGCCTATACTGTAGCTGTCCCATAATTACCAGATGTGGAAGCGGTGTTGGACCCGGAGAGAAGGGAACCCTGCCCCACATTTTCATGATGTCTCCAAGGGGCTGGAAAGTCTCATCACAGGCTCTCTTAACCAATAGTGACATTGTGAAGTATCCAGCCTGGAACCATTCTGCCATCTCCTGATTACTGAAAGGACCTGAAATAACACCAATACCAAGGGGGAAGGGGAAGTAAGGCCAAGCTGAACATGCTGGAGACAAAGAGCACGGTGCTTGCTAGAATAATGTGGTCCCCAGCATCAGGTGTTCCTGTCCATCTCATCTACCTGGCTGGGTAGACACCATGCTCAAGGCTGGTGTCACTGCACGTATTTAGATCTTTATAGTGGCTACAGCATCCCCCAGGTGTCTACTGAGAAGTGCAGGACTGCTTCTACCATGCATGGGAGGGAGAGAAAGCCAAGCAACCACCTCTGTGTGGAGCTTGCTCCAGCTGACACACATCCTGCCTGCCAGCAAAGCTCCCTGCCTTGAGCTCAGCACCAGGTTGACCACAGTTGCCATTTCCAGTTTGGCACTCAGCAGTATCTGCCAGCAGCATCAGTGCTACTTTCCCCACATCCACTGTACAGATAACATAACAATCCTGGCCTGGTTCATCTCTTGCCTTCGCACCAGAGGCATTTATATGCTTTAGAGAAGTTTTGCTTCTGGAACTTAGACAGATCCACCTCTGAGCAGAAGATGACATTTTTTAAGATAACGGAAAAATCAGTTTCTCTTTCCGTTCTCCAAAAGCTACACTCCTCTTACTCTTTCTCCTGAGAAAGATCTCAGCCACTCCCTTTAAAAGACTCCTATACTAATGTTATATATCCAAATGAACACAAAGAACTAAAAACAGGTTATTGAACAGAGTAAGAACCACATGAATACAAGTTTTTAAAAAAATCTGCTGAAAAGCAAGAAAGTTCAGTGATTCTCACCTTCTCTAGAAGCAGTATCTTTAGAAGGTAATTCCTCCCAGAGAATATGAAACCACAAGTGGTATCGCAAGAAAAAATTCTGTGGGAGTGTTACTTCTGGAGGTCACACTAAGGGAAGTATTTACTCCAACGAAAAACTGTTCGACCTTTCCCTTCTCCAAAAGCAACACTTCTCTTACTCTTTCTCCTGAGAAAGATCTCAGCCACTCCCTTTAAAAGACTCCTATACTAATGTTATATATCCAAATGAACACAAAGAACTAAAAACAGGTTATTGAACAGAGTAAGAACCACATGAACACAAGTTTTTAAAAAAATCTGCTGAAAAGCAAGAAAGTTCAGTGATTCTCACCTTCTCTAGAAGCAGTATCTTTAGAAGGTAATTCCTCCCAGAGAATATGAAACCACAAGTGGTATCGCAAGAAAAAATTCTGTGGGAGTGTTACTTCTGGAGGTCACACTAAGGGAAGTATTTACTCCAACGAAAAACTGTTCGACCATCACTGAGCAATGACCATCCAGCAACAACTAACATACAGCTTGAAGTGCACTGAGTAACAATGTTTTACTGTTAATATCCTTTAAACCTAAAGGGGTGAGAAGAAAACCCTGAAGACGTGTCACACCTGCAGAGAAGAGACTGGTGCAGATCCCACAAGTAACACTCCTACAAACCCTATTCACAGTTGAGGAAGGCAGTCACACTAAACAGTGTTAGCAACTACTACTTAGTGAAGCACAGCAAGTAAGGAAGTCACTGCTTAACTACATTTTGGGAGGCAGCTGAAGAGCTCCTAAAACACAGCCCCAAGACCTCCAAAAGAAAAGTACCTTCTGAAAGCTAAGGTGCAAGTATCCACACAAAATACCTGTTCCAATTTCCACTGCAAAAGAACTGAGATTTCTGAAAAAACCCTGCAAGGATGAACCAGCTGGTATTGTATGAACTACAAAAGCACTGGCTGCAAGTACAATTCAAACTAGGATTATGCATGTGTGCTGGCTTGTGAATACTTCTTTTTTCTTTACTCCAGATTCTGAAAAAGTTACCCTTCCCTGAATACTCAGTGTCTTCAGGCTAAAAATACTCAGGATTCTGCAACAAGCTACTGAGTGGCCACATTCTTCTTTTGTTTCCACTATTATCTGAAAATCTGAGCAACTCTTGGCATGAAAACCAGGTTTTAGTCTAATCTCCATCTACAGAAACATGAGGTGATAGCAAACCTTAGCTACAATAAAGTGTAATTCTGGACATTAGAGATGCTGAGCTGATGGGGGCAGTGTAGGTAGAAGATCTATTTTCAAAATCCAGTTCTAGAGTTGTAAATTCCCTGTGCTGCTCCTGTAAAAATAACCATCAGTATCTGTTGGCAGTAATTTTGTGAAGAACTCTAACAGTTCTGTGAAACAAAAGAGGAAGTGTAAAGGGCACAGACCTACCCTGAATTTCTCCTTGTGGATCTTTGTAGTACCACTTCTGCATGGCTTCATGGAACAATGGCATGGAGGAACCCTTTGCTCTGTGTTCTTGAATTTTTGCTGCTAGTCTCTCATCATCAAGGGCACTGTCCTGCAGGTATGCCACCATTTTTTCTGCTTGCTGCAAGAGACATCCAAACCAGAAAGTGATAGATTGAAGAGCTGGTTGAGGGCTTACAGATTTGGAAACAAGTGCACCAAATACAACCACCTTGAAGCACTCAGTGCTCAAGAGTGTAGCAGGAATTACAGGCACTGGTGTACCTGCACCACAGACCCCGAGCTCACTCTAGCACCTCATCAGAATCAGCAACAGGAATGGGAGCACTAGCACGAAAAATGCTCTACATGCCAGCTGTCAGCAAACTCAGTGTGCTTTTTTTAAACACACCGGGCACACTTTTATGGTCTCTCAAGGCCAACAGCAAGGCCACTTGACAGCAGTCATAAGCACTAGGATCTGTAGCTCTTTAACACTGGGTATCTCAGAAAAACAGTACATAGGCATGAATTCTTCCCCAAAAAAAGAACAGAGGGAAGAAAAGTAGCTTTCAGTACATTCACAGAATCAGACAACTGTCAAGGTTGGAAGGGACTTGTAGAGATCATCCAGTCCAACTCTCCCACTAAAGCAGGATCCCCTGGAGCACATTACCCAAGACTGTATCCAGGGGAGTTTGAACATCTCCAAGGAAGGACACTCCACACTCTCCCTGGGCAACCTGTCCTAGGGCTCTGTCACCCTCATACTAAAGAAGTTTTTCCTCATATTTCAATGGCACTTCCCATGTTCCAACTTGTGTCCGTTGCCCCTCGTCCTGCCCCTGGGATCTATTGAGCAGAGTCTGGCTCCATCCTCCTGCACCCACCCTGAGATACCTACAGGCATTAATAAGGTCTCCCCTCAGCCTTCTCTTCTCCAGGTCAGAGTCCCAGCTCTCTCAGCCTCTCCTCATAAGAGAGATGTTCCAGTCCTCCAGTCTTCTTTGTTGTCCTCCCCTGGACTCTCTCCAGCAGTTCCCTGTCTCTCTTGAACTGGGAAGCCCAGAACTGGACATAATATTCCCGACATGGCCTCACCAGGTCGTAGCAGGGGGGAGAATGACCTCCCTTGACCTACTGGCCACACTTTTCCTCATACACCCCAGGATTCCAATGGCCCTCTCGGCCACAAGGACACACTGCTGGTTCATGGATCATTTACTACCTACCAGGACTCCCAGATCCTTCTCGGAACTGCTTTCCAGCAGGTCCTCCCCTAACCTGTATTGGTGCATGGGGCTGTTCCTCCCCACATGCAGGACCCTGCACTTGCCCTTGTTGAAACTCAGGTTCTTCTCTGCCCAGTTCTCCAGCCTGTCCAGGTCACACTGGATGGCAGCACAGCCCTCTGGAGTGCCAGCCACTGTGGAGTGTAAAGTTTGAGCTGCATTTCTGGGTTTATGGGCTTCAAATATGCTTTGCATTCCACATTGCTCCAGCCTTACAAATGTCAACAACAAAGGAATTTGAGAAATTGTACCTGCTCTAGATGTTTGAGACCCTCTTCATCATCTGGGTCAGTGGGAATGTTGCCCATGCCTGGAGCAGCTGTGACAGGTGTCTGAACTGGTCGCAGAGCAGGATTTGAATTGGAAACGGGGGGAGAAAGATGAGCAGGAGAAGCTGTGTCTGCAGAAATCTGTGGCAAAGGTTGAGCAACAGAAGCTAGATCTAAAGAAAAATGTTAAAATTAGTTGAACCTTTAAAATAAATGAAAATTACTGTTAAGAACTCACTAAAAAAAAAACACTCAACAGCTCAACATCAGCACCAAAGCAAAAGTCTCTCCAGACCTTCCTGTTTGTAGGTGTGCACAGTGGTACTGTCAACAGCACAGGCATCTCACCCAACATCAGGAAACAAAGAGAAGAGAACTGGGCACATTTCAGCACAGCCCGTTCACCAGCCCCATCTGCCTCTCCAGGCTGATCTTCTCTACCCTGGTGAGGCACATTCACAACCAGCTCATGGCTGTCTAGACTGGGGTGTGGTGGGAAGCACCAGTGCACTGCAAGTACTTGAGACAGTATACCCAGCCAATATTGTATTTACAGGGCAGTTGGCAAATTTTGGCTTTTCATCACTACAATCCACTCCTTGCCTCTGAAAAATGACCAAGACTAATCAGGGCAAGTATTGGAAGCTTACTAAATTGATCTACCAGGTTTACTACCTTCCCCTCTTTTAGCTGGTGGTGTAGTCTCTGTTCGATTCTCCTTCTCTTCTGCTTTTTCTGTCCTTTCTGGCACAGATTCCTCCTTCCTTTCAAACAGGCTTGTCTGCAGCGGGTCTGGAGGCTGGGATTTTGGTGGGGTATCTGACTTGGCAGCTGGTGAAGATGCTTGGACTGCTTCCTCCACTGCTTCTGTAACATTGCATGGTTCTAGGTAACTGAATTGTTGGAAATTCTACACTGCAGCATAGAACAGATGCATGGGAAGTCCCCCTTACCTGTCACTGCTCTGTCTGCTTTCTCCCCCTCTTTCTTGGCGGCCTTTTCATGATCTTTGGCTTCTTCATTGTGGCTTCCTTCAGAGTCCGATCTTTCTTCTCCTTCCTCCACAGGTCGGAAATCCATCTCCTGTTCCTCAGGGATTGGCTCCTTCTGCACCTTCTACAGAGCCAACATAACAATCCATCATCCATCCGACATCACAGGACATTTGCTCAAAGTGAACACAGGGCTGAGACAGCTTTTCACCTTTAAAGACAGAAACGCTCCCGAGGAGTCAAACGTTCCCATTTCCTCTTCTGCATCCTCCAAGCACCACTCAGGGAGACTGTCCCTGTCGTCGTCCATGCTGCCGCTCCCGCAGCGCACGCGCCGGTAGCCCCGCTCCTCGTCCCGCTCCCGGAAATCAAACTCAAACCTCCGCCGTCGCTCCATGTGCTCCCGCCAGCCTGCAGAACGAGGCCCGTCTGAGGTGGGGGAAAAGCAACTTTACCAGGCAGCCCAGGGGCTGGCAACTTACTTTGAAGGGTGAGGAGATGACAAACAGGACAGAGATTCAGAAAAGCCCTTCAGGGTACAATCCACCTATGTACAGGCATCTTCAAGGACAAGGGAAAGAAAGGGAACATCTCGCCTTTCGGCAGGAGACATTACAACATTGTCCTCCCTATCTTCCCACATGATAAAGGGAATGATGAGTATTACAAAACCATGCAAGGCTGGGAAAGCTGGGCTACACCATCTAAAACATGCTGGGGCACCAAAATAAGACAAGTGGCACTAGATGCTGACTCAGTTTACCAGCCATCAGTGACTTCAGTCTTTTTTGGCATCTCTGTAAGGTTTTGTATTTTCTTTTAGGCAAGTTGTTTCCCTGATAAAATACAATCTTAAAGTTCACAGCATTTCTCAGGGGAGTTTTTTTTACTGTATTTGTGAGACAAAGGTGGATTTTTGCATGATTAATAGCTAAGACATTAGGGTTGATGTGGAAACATTCCTCAGTTATATGAAACAAATGGAAGAGTTTATCCTCTTTGCTATGACTTTTTTGGTAGCCATTTGATAACGGGCACAGCACCGACTGCACCAATTCTGAGACGAACAAAAGAACATGCTTTTTTTCTCTAGAAAAAGCACACAGCCACCACAAAAAGCACTAAAAACTAAGGTGATTTTGGTTTTGATTTGCATCTTTCTGGTGACACTTTTCTGCTTGGAAACTTTTTAACAATCCTTTCACACTCAGTTTGCCTTGCTTAGCAGCATGTTATTTACAGTCTAAGTGGCAACACTGCAGTCAGGATTTTAAGACTGCCTGAATGAAGGTGTCTTCTCAAGAGATTAGAAAGAGAAGTGGAGTCAAATTTATACTTGAATTTGGAAAGCTTTCCCTCTTTCCTTATCATTCCAAGTATCAGCATTCCATTCTAAAGGTATTTGAACACACCTCAGTCCATTTTTAATGTACATGCACAGAAATGTCACTGAGGGCAGGAGGAAAAAAAGCAGGAATGCTTTGTTCAGGATGGGACTTGTGCAACTTGCAACTTGCCTCTGGACACATTTCAGACATGGTTGTTTATCAAGGAAACAGAAGGTTGGACTTTAACAACAACTTCACTCCACCATGTACCTATTTGCAAACAATGTGTTTCATTCCACTTAATCTGTGCTTCAAGTTATGCCTTAGAAACAAGTAACATCTCTGTAATGCAAAAAACTGTCCAATGTTCTGATGCAACTTTTTTAATGTCATTATGTCATTACAGAAATGAGGCACACCAAGCTTGCACTTAACCCACCTTCTACGCCTGCTTTAATATAATTCTTAATACTTTAGGCCTTTTATGCCAACCTCTTCTTCATCAGTGACCTCTCTACAAATATGTAAGCAAAGACAAAGGCTCACTGAAGATGCCCTAACAAAGTAAGTACTTCAGAGAGCTCAATTAACAACCACCTTCAGAAGAGGATGCCTCCTTCCTCTGAAGTGTGTCCAGACGTGGCCACAAAAATTATCCAAGGGTTGGAGCACCTTTCTTATGAATACAGGCTAAGAGAGCTGGGGTGTTCAGCGTGGAGAAGAGAAGGCTCCAGGGAGACCTCAGAACACCTTCCGGTGCCTAAAGGGGCTCCACAAAAGCTGGGGAGGGACTTTGGACCAGTGCTTGTAGTGAGAGGACAAAAGGGAATGGATTAAAACTGGAAGAGGAGAGATTTAGGTGAGACATGAGGAAGAAACTCCTCAGTGTGAGAATGATATCCAGGGAAGCTGTGGCTGCCCCATCCCTGGCAGTGTTGAAGGGCAGGTTGGATGGGGCTTGGAGCAACCTGGGCTGGTGGGAGGTGTCCCTGCCCATGCAGGGGGTTAGAACAAGATGATCTTTAAGGTCCCTTCCAACTCAAACCATTCTATGATTCTACAATTGTACCCCGAGCACCTCCAGCTCAGCACCAACTAAGGAGGTCCAGGTTTCTCGGGACCTTCTTTTCAAGTCAGTCACGTGTATGAACATCTCCTCAGAATGCTGTTCCACTTTAAAAGAACAAAAGCATGTCTGGGAGCAACCAGCAACTAAGCAGAACAGCATGGTGTACCTGAAAGAAAAGACACCGAACAGCACCAAAAGCAGGGTTAAGCTGACTTGTCCTTTCCCCACATCAAAACATCACAAAACATCACATCAAACCCATGATTTCCTGTAGACTCAAAGGGCTTTTTCCAAGGTGTAAGTGTGAGAGGTTGCTGACAACCAGACTGCACTGCCAATGCTGACCACTGGCAGACATCTCCTCAGTACAGTCAGCGTACATGTCAGGTTTCACAGAATGTGGAAAACCCAATTATGGCCTGAACCTTTCAAAGTCAGATCCTACAAATAGACGAGTATCTCTGTCTGCTTGCTGTCTTGGGGCTCCCAACCAGCTGAGCAGCTTTTCTTCAGCTCTCTTGTGTAGAAGAGGAAAAATTGGTATGAAGAGCTTTCTGTGCAGCCCTAAAAGGGCCATCTTGAGACTGTACATGCATCCTCCGTTACCCTTACCAGGTTCACAACCCTATACCAGAAACACAGGCTCTCCATAGCAGCACCCAAAAACATGGGGTTGGAAGGTGGATTCTAAGTGTTTTGTTATTTACAGGTATCTTCAAAGTATAAATTAAGAACGTAAGACATTCTGTTTACCACATGGTCTGCTTGCAAAGATTTAGTCACACAGGTTCCTTTGATAGCCTACACTTTCAGAATTAGGTGGACAAGAGAAAGGAGAGATAAGTGGAGCACACACATGCCCTTGTTTCTTAACAAATGTTCCACAAAGCCTAGTGAGAAGATGGTGAGCAACCCGGGTGTAGAAGACAGGGCTGCCAAACTTGAAAGTAAACCAAAGACAAATCTTAAATTCTTACCTAGATTTTCTGAACCAACTGTTACAAGACAAATGAAGCTTTCAATTCAGTCCTGTAGTATCATCAGGCACCAGTTATATGATCAAGATTCCAAGTTAAAAGTAGTAATTTTAAACCAAATTTAACCCCTGCAATTGTCACATTGTAGACAAAAAAAAAAAAAAAAGGACTACTGGGTGCTTTAGGAAATCCAAGTACACTTTAGTCTCCATTATGAATAGCTGCTTACCTCTTTAAAAGTTATATTCTCTAATTCAGAAAATAAATTTCGAATGTATCCTAAATCAATACTAAATACTACACTAAAGACAAAGCAGTAATAAATTTCTGGCATATATCACAGATTAAATTCATTTTTATTTTCCTCAATTTTAGAGCAAGAGTCTCCAATGTATAATTTAGCTGCTTTAAGATATTCAAGAAGCACAAAGCTCAAAAGCTGAAAAATAAGAAGTCTACCAACTCACAGAAGGTGATTCTGACAGTGGAATTAACCAAGATGAATTTGAAAAGCTTTGCAAAAAAGGATCAGTGAAAAAAAACCAATCATGAGATTACAGACTAAGGCCCCTCTAAAATGCTCTTTAAGAAAAACATTTTTATGGAGCTGCTTAAGCAAAGTAAAAAATTCTATTAAAGACATTTTAGGCAAGCAGAGACGATTCCTGTTTCTTAAGGATGAGACTTGATTAAAAAAACAATAAAAACATCCATAATTCACTAGTTTTGGGACCCAAAACAGTTTGGATGCTTCTAATAAGATAGACTGGCTCTGCAAATTTGAAAGGCAACCACTGTATGAAAGGAAGAACTGGAACAACAGGAAGATGGGGCTTTTTAGGTCGGCAGTCATCAAATCATTAAAAGAGAGCCTGGAAGCAGCTAGTGAACTGAGAGCTCTGGTCACATTCTTCTTAACAGATAGGTCACCTCTCTCACATCTACACCAGCAGCTGTGCCATTTCTACATGGAACAAAGAGCAAACAAACTGCTGTTGCAGAAGCCAAGGTAAGATGTCTCCTCCCCAGACTGTAGCCCCAGTGCACCGACAGCAGCAAAGTGGAGAATCCCATCAACTATGACTGAGAAAGCCTGGTGATACAAGCCAGACAGTTATCATGCTGCAAAAATAGAAAAGTCTACATCCTCCTGCATTAAGGAGTAGAAGGAAAAACACATGAGGCTTGTCTGTTTTAAGGAGAAGTCTGATCAATTTGCTTCCCTTTACTACCAATACTCAGCAGATCACTCATACTGTATGAGGTGCAGCTGTGTGAGAGGAGACTGGTTGGAAAAGACCTTCAAGATCATCAAGTCCAACCATCCCCCAACCACTAAACCATCTTAAGAAACACCTCTTTTTTGAACACTTCCAGGGATGGTGCCTCCACCACCTCCCTGGGCAGCCTGTTCCAAGGCCTCACCACTCTTCCTGTGAAGAAATGTTTTCTAATATCCAGCCTGAACCTCCCCTGGCACAGCTTGATCCCATTTCCTCTTGTCCCATTGCTGGTCACCAGGGAGAAGAGCCCAACACCCACCTCACCACAACCTCAGGGAGCTGTAGAGAGCAATGAGGTCTACCCCTAGCCTCACTTCTCCAGGCTGAACAGCCTCAGCTCCCTCAGCCTCTCCTCATCAGATCTGTTCTCCAGACCCCTCATCAGCCTGGTTGCTCTTCTCTGCACCCTCTCCAGCACCTCCATGTCCTTCCAAAGCTTCACCCAGGGCTCGAGGGGCAGGATCACCTCCCTGGTCCTGCTGGTCACACTGTTCCTGATGGAGGCCCGGATGGTGGTGGCCTTCTTAGCCGTGCTGCTGGCTCATGTTCAGCTGCTGTCAACCAGCACTTTCAGATCCCCCTCTACTGCGCAGCTTTCCAGCCACACCTCCCCAAGGCTGTAGATCAAACACAGCAGGGACACAGGGCAGATCCCTTCAAACTATGCCCAGAGAGGTAACTTGAGCTACAATAAACCAGAGCACAGGATCTGGGAAACTATACTTAGGGGCACAGGAGTGCTCCAGCAGAAGCAGTCCATCCTCTTGATTCTTTGTGACTATTAAAAAGCACACAGTGAGCAGATTTAGGTCAGCCATCCCACAGTAAACTCAGCTGAAGGAGAAAGAGGAATTCAAAAGCTGGAAAAACAATGGTATGGGGGAATCAAAGTAGTCTTTGCTTAACAACAGAAGAAGATAAACTCAAACCTGACAACTGCTATGTTATTCTGAAACCAAAAGAAAGGCCAAGCAGCACCCAATCTAGCAGGGAGTATGCAGAGCCAAGTCAAAGGAAGGTCCAGCTAAACAGATTATGCCAGCAGTCTAAAGACATCTCTCTATAGCAGGACACATGACTAGTTCTACTACCTAACAGCAGAATAAGTAAAAAAAAAAGCAGTTTAAGCCATGTTGATTTAACTCATTGTTTCAAGCAAGAATATGATTAAAACTGTTTTGATGATCCTGTGGCTACTACTAATAGCAGAAACCAAACACAGCTCTGGCCAAAGCTGAGACCAGTACAACACAGCTGTCAAGAGGGTCTATCCCAAAGTCAGAAATCTCTCTGCAGATTCACAGACTTCTTGGAACAGGCTTTTTATTAGACCTGCTAAAACCTGTCAGTGAAGTTAGCTGCCTACTACAGCGAAAATTTGAATAAGAGTAGTATTTCCTATGATGGAAGGAAGATGAATTTTCAAAACTTCAGAACATCTCCCAAAAAAGCACAGGATATGAATGAACTCCTGAACTTTGAGGTCTGTACTTCCTCTTAAGCTGAAGCATTCAGGCTTGTATTTGCAGCACACAGAATGTCATGCTGCAGCTGATCATCATGAGGTACTCCTGTAGCTGGCCTGATGTCATCTCAACTATATAACAAAGCAGCAGTGTCTAATGAACAATCATGACCAAGCACTGGGGAAAAGAAAACTACATTCTTCAGAATTGGCCCCTTAGCCCTGCTCTAAATAGAAAACATCTGATAATAAATCCAGCCTGGGGCTCACTACTGAATTTTAGTAAAAGCTAAGAGCTGTTGGAGGGCAGAGTAAAACACAGCTGGGGAGAAGGTAAGGAACAGAGGTAACAGTTGCTCACAATCATTACAGCACTGAAAGTCCTTTGGGCTGCTGAAAAGCTTTGCAGACTCATTTTAAGAACAAGTGCGACTTTTTCTAGTTGAAAAAAAGAAGCTGTCCACCTCAGCCCTAATAATGTCACATGCTTCCTTCACTTCCCTATGAAGATGTAACAGGAGAAGGCCCATGCTTTCCCAGAAGCCTTTGCAGCCAAAAGATACCCAAACCCAAGATCCCACAACAGGTATGACTGGCTAATAGGATCTTTTCCAAGTAGAAGGAAAAGGAAGTGTCAGCCATACTACTAAAAACACCAAGCACTGCTTTGTACTTCTCTTGCCACTCTAACAGTGCAGTCCTGGAAAGCAAGTGAACCAGACTGACTTTGTCAGGACAGGGAAGGGGATAATGACACCAAATAGATGCCTGGAACTCAGCAAGACCAGGCCTCCTGGAACTAACTGCAAGATGCACGAGCACCATCTTTTTAGATTTGCCAAGGATGCCTCTTGGCATTGCAAACACATTGGAAAAACTAGGAAGAGGCCAAGCACCTGAACACAACCTGATTCAGTGTCAGAATCACTCTGTGGCCTTCAACATGCCACCTAATGTGGGCAGCTTCTCTCCCCTCAGCACCAGAGCCACTGAGGAACAGGACTGTTAAACACCCCTGATTCCACCTGGAAAACACACAAACACACATACCTGAAAAATGCTGTTCTCTTGAATACGTTAGGGTATTGAAGACATTAAAAAGAAAACAAAAGGCACAAAATTGTGTGCTAATCATTTTGTGATCAGAAGCCTCACATATGCCAGAAAAGCATTTAATGACCAAAACCACAGCAACCTTACCTATTGTTGTCCAAAACTTCAGGCCACCTCCCATTCTTCTGCTTTCCCCATGTCCTGACTCACCCATTGCCCTCTCCCTCCAACCAGGGCCCCATCCTTCTCCAGCTCCCAGCTCACCTGGGCTGTGCGGGCGCCACCGCTCCCCGTCCCGCCGCGACCCCGCCAGGCGCCAGCCGCCGTCCTCCTCCTCCCCATTCTGCTCCTCCCTGAAGATGCGCCAGTTCTCGCTCTCAGAGCGTATAAACTCATGCTTCCTCCCTGGTGCTGCTGTCCCACCTTCCTCAAAGTTTGGTCTCACTGCAAAGAAAACACGTGCCAGTGAACATGTATCCTGTCCTTCAGGGATCTAGAAACAAAAGGGTGGAAATCTCACTCCTCCAGAGGCAAAAAGGCACCAGAAGCTAAGTGGTGGCAGGAACCTAGGAGAGAATGGAAGTTCATGGAAGGAAACATATGACAAACAGATTTAGGAAATCATTCCATGTCCCTACGTATCTTAGGAGGAAAAAACTGAGAAAACCACACAGAAGCAAGAAAGCAAGAAATTATGACAGGATAGGAAAGCCAGGAAATCACTCTATGTCCCTATGTATCTTAGGAGGGAAAAACTGAAAAAAAAACACACAGAAGAAAGCAAGAAATTATGACAGGATAGGAAAGACAGAGGAGGAAGAGATGAGAGCTTAGGAGACATAGGGAAGTGCAAGAGGAAAGAAGCCAAAGTGTGTAGAAAGAGAATAAACTTAAGTATCACACTGAAGGGAAATGAGAATACCAAAAACTAAACATTAGACACATTTTATATAAACCAAATATTTGCTAACTCTGTGCTACAAAGGAGATCTATATAACAACCAATACAAGCATTCTTGCAATGCTTTTTAGGTAAGACTGAAAAGTTTAAGTATGATTCAGGGTTAAACCAAAAAATCCTAGTGGTAATACCATCCTGTGAATCCAGCTCCTGGAGAGCCAAGGTCAGAAGAAACTATGCTCAAGCTCAAGGACAAGTCTACCAGAAATGTAGGGATAAGACAGTCTCTTAGTTCATAATTTACATTGTTAGATTTGAAATAAACCATCAAATCCTCAAGTACTTGCTGAAGGACAACACTGTCACATAAGGACAATGTAAATGCTTTTATAAAAATTATACACCACATTATACACCAATAACTCAAGTTAAACATACATGCTGCTTTCCCTGTTGACTCATCCTGAGAAGGACACACCACCACTGAAATAAATGGTAATACCAGCTCCAGGACTTCCGGGTTGTGTGTTTCTTCAAGTGTGTTCAGCTGTGTAGCACCAGAATTCTCACTGAACTCTGGTGACACCATTTCTTTGCTGCTACTATTAAACCAGTGTTAACCTGAAACTGTGTGGTTATCTACAGAAAAAGTATTCCAGTATTCCTGGAAAAGCATATAAAAAGTATTCCTTCTTCTTAAGACTCTCAAAATCCAAAACCAGAAGATGGTATTTGGTGAAAACTGTATAGTATGTCTGCTTGCTTAGGTGGGAAAAGTAAAAGAAAGCAAAACTGTGCACTAAGATTCCTGGGGTTGAAAGGGACATATTTAAGGATTTAGTTGAGGAAGGATAGGTGATTGTATTTCCCTTTCTTCACCTCATGTAGCTTTTTCAATGAAAAAACAAGGAAACAGTACCTGACATTCTGTGGCACATCATACCTCTGTTTAGACCTCTGAAATTCTCCCTACATGCAGATACTTCAGTCTGAAGACAGAAAACACACACCTTATCTTTGGACTTTGCATGTACCTTGGAGAAAAACCAACATCCCTTCTCCACCATTTCAAAACACTGGAGGAAAACACCTTTTTCTTTCTCCAGCTCAAAATCTTCTCCAGTGTGTTGTTTTAGAGAAGTACTATACCAAGAGAGTAGAGATGGAATTCAATCCTGTGTAAGAAATCCAGGACATTACCTGCTTCCCATGCCCCACATTCACCTGAAATACTTTTACCACTGTCACAGAAACAAATTTCCACAAGAATGTTAAGGATGGCCCTTGAGCTACTGAGTAGACAGGAGAGGCAGGAAACAGCCCCAGGTTTCAGATCAAAGAGTTATTCCCTGGATGACTATCTGAGTGGCTACAGGTGACTACAAAGGACCTCAGAAAGGTCCCTGGAATATCTTCCTCTTCTCTCTAGATGAAGACAGACGTAAAGCACATTGGCTAATTTAAATCAAGCTCAGAGGTGAGGCCACCTTTACTTCAAAGGGGATGTGACTCACTGTACTCACTGGGCTCTGAGAACAAAAGCCAAACTCTTTAAAACGGTTGCATTTGGGGAAGTCTCTGGTGATACTGGCTCCAAATCAAACCAAACTGCCGGACACTTAGCCCTCTTCATTTGGTAGTGCAATGTTGGCAAATTTTCTTATCTGGAAATGATAAATTTTTGCAGATTGAAGGTCAACAACATTCGGCTTTCCCACGCTTCACAGAAAATTAAGGAAGACAACAAGCTGGACAGAAAATCTAAGTCTAGGAAATAAGGGTTTTCATTTTAGATCCCTGAAAAGTATCACATAGGAGAAGTTAAGAGGAAGTGCAAGGAAACCTATCAGTATTGTTCCTTGGATGGGCTTCATACAGGAGAATCTACAGCCAACTACAGAGCCAAGTCAGCTGGAAGTAACACAGAGTGGCCCAGGAGGGAGCTACAGCCCAACAGACCAGATGAGCTTGGGACCCAGATGATGGAGAATGTGCCTCATTCTTCTTCAACTTCTGTGCATTTTTTATTCTCCAGCATAAGGCACTGCTCTTTCCTCACTAAAAGAGTTCCTGACAGAAAAAGTTACTCAGATTGCTATTTTGACACTAGAAAAACCTTATTTTTAGAGATCTATTCTTTCCATCAAAATTCACAGCAATTACCTTACACTCAGTCAGTAACATTAATTTGAGAGATTTTTGACTCAACCAACTAAGAAAAACAGATATTCTCTTTCTTTCCATTGTTATTAAGTTCAGTTAAGGTTGGCAAGCTACCAGGTTTCAAGTTCTGTTCTGCTTCTCCAAAACCTTTTGAGGGAAAATAAAAGTTACCTAAAAAACATTGTGCAGTCAACTCTGCTATAATATCCCCATGTTCTTAGCCCCTCTGCAGATACACACATGCTGTGGGCACACCCAAGGCAACTCAGGGTTTCTTAGTCATAGAATCATAGAACCGTCAAGGTTGGAAAAGACCTTCAAGATCATCAAGTCCAACCATCCCCCACCACAGCCCCCAACCACTAAACCATCTTATGAAACACCACATCTACCCCTTTTTTGAACACCTCCAAGGACGGTGCCTCCATCATCTCCCTGGGCAGCCTGTTCCAAGGCCTCACCACTCTTCCTGTGAAGAAATGTTTTCTAATATCCAGCCTGAACCTCCTCCGGCACAGCTTGACCCCATTTCCTCTTTTCCCATTGCTGGTCACCAGGGAGAAGAGCCCAACACCCACCTCACTGCAACCTCCTCTCAGGTAGTTGTAGAGAGCAATGAGGTCTACCCTCAGCCTCACTTCTCCAGGCTGAACAACCCCAGCTCTTTCAGCCTCTCCTCATAGACTTGTTCTCCAGACCCTCATCAGCCTGGTTGCCTTTCTCTGCACCCTCTCCAGCACTTCCATGTCCTTCTATGCTGTGGTGCCCAAAACTGCCCCCAGTGCTCAAGGTGCAGACCCACCAAGGCCAAGTAGAGGAGCAGGATCCCCTCCCTGCTCCTGCTGGTCACACAGATGCAGGCCAGGATGGTGTTGGCCTTCTTGGCCACCTGGGCACACACTGGCTCATGTTCAGCTGCTGTCAGTCAGCACCTCCCAAAGTCTCTGAACTTGCAGAAAATAGCATCCCCATTTGCTTCTGGGGGTTGGAAATACATCTCTACGCCAAATGCTATCTGTCAAGATCAGACACAAGTGGGATCCTGCCCCTCCTGATTTTCCAATTCCACAGCATTAAAAAGCTAAAAAACAAGAAAAGAATGGATTTTAAAGGGTCAGCATTGTATTCATCCAAGGATGGTCTCACCTGTGATTCTGAAACCTTTCTAAACACAGCAGCACTCTGGTGTGCTGCACCCACTGGTCACAGGTTAAGGATCAGAAAAGAAAATTGAGCTACTCAAGTGACAGAAAGACAAAAACACATCCAGGAATACTCCTACAGCTTCCATACGAATTCACAATTTCCAAAGTCCTGGCATACTGTCTTTGCAAACTGTTCCTAGATTTGAGAACACTCGTTTCAGCTGAAATTACTTAGGACAAAGAGTCAGTATTTGGCAAAGCTTTATGGATGAAAAAAATGAAAATGCAATCTATGGTTTTGCCTCAGACTAATTGACTGGACTTCCTGAAGAGAAGGAGCAGTAAAAGGGCACCTCTGTTCAAGCCTGTCACAAAGCCAGCAGTCGTGTTTACAGAAAACTTCAGATAGCGCCTGGTGGGATACAGCCAGAAAAGCCTACAGTTGCGCCACAGAGAGCTGAAGGGAGACAAACCTGGAGAACAAGCCTGGGAGTCTGGGACTTAGCCCCGTGGCAACATGTTTATGAAGAGGACTTAGTAACTGAGTGGCAAGTAACTTCTGGCTTCCTTGCTGCCAGGCCAGGCTGTCTATGGCACGCCCAGTGATGCGAGAGCAGACAGGAGGGCAGGACTGACAGCAACGGTCTCCTCCCAAGAAGGGCAGAACTAGGAGAGTCTGCTAAGTGCTTTGACTTGCTCTCTTCTTTCTCCTGCAGGATACACACTTCCTCAAGGGTAACAACAAAATCCTTTGCAGCTAGTGTTTTGAAAGGAATGCAGGTAACTTTGCCTAGATGTGTAATTTTATAGCTCATTTTACAGAAGAATAAAACAAATGGCCTTAGAATGATGTTTCTAAAGGACTATCTTCTCATCAGGACAGACAGTGCTTGACAGGCTAGGGACACTAGAGGAACACTTCTATCATTAGGTGACCCACTGGTAACCAAAAATAGAGAGACCAGAAGTTCTGATGCCCATTTCTAGATTCACATTTTCACTGTCTACAAAAACCTCAACAGGAGGTCTCAAAGAGGCACTGCTCAAGTATCATTCTGTATTTTTCACTTAATTGACCAGTATCTACTGTCATGAGTATGGGTGAGCCTATGGATTCAATGGAATTAACAAAAGATTTTAACACACCTGGAAATCACATAGAGAAGCTATTCTATCTGCTGCACGATTGTGTGAGATCTTCTATCCATTCAGGTGAATCAGATTAGAAAACCTGT